CTCTTCATGTCATTTATGATTGTTGTTTGACTAAGCAGGTTTAGAGGGATTTCATTGATGCTCATTTTTCTAATATTTTCTTCTTTTTATCTTTGGATAGGTGGTTTATGCTGAAATCTTGGATGAAGGTGAGCTTCCATGACATCTCTAATTGAAAGACAATTTTTCCTATTACAGCTTAGATCTTATAAAAGAAAAAGAATAAGACCATTTTCAATAATAAATTTAGGGTGATCACTCCATTGAGTGGTGATATCATTAATACTGCCTCAAAATTTTATAATGCTTATCAAGAACCTTGTCATCTAATTATTAAGGCTGATCCCTTTAAATTTCCTTGAGTGAGTTGGAAAGCTCCTTCCACCGAGTGGTTTAAACTCAATATTGATGGTTCTATTTACGATTATCTTGGTTATGCTACAGAGAGCTGACTCATTAGAGATAACCGTGGTAATTGGATTGCGGAATTCATGTCCAACTTAGGCATTCTTAGAGCGATAACAACTGAAGTCCTGGGAGTCTTGGAAGGACTCAAATTTGTATAGCACAAGGGCATCAAAAAGCTCATTTCAAAGTTGATTCTTTATATATTAAATCTTTTTTCACCCATCATGATAGAGGTCGGGTTTCTTCCACAGCTTGGGAACCTCAACTTATAGCTCTTCTTAATCTTGATTAGAGCATTCATATTTGGTACATTCATAGAGAATGAATTTCTTGCATCAATAGCCTTGTGTATTGGGCTCACAAGTGTACAAAAGGTTATATAAAACTAACTTATGCTCCAGGTGATCTAATTCTCCATCTCTACTTAGATCAATGTAATATTATTGGGATATATCTCGTTGGATACTAGCCTTTTAGAGTAATTAATTTGTTTTTTTTTTACCTTTATAGTAGAAAAAATAATAATACTCACTAGTAGTCTAATTAATATTATTACTCAACTAAAAGCTTTACTACCAAATGATTAAATTGAATATTAGGATTTAAAATATAATTTTGATCTCAATTAATTATCTATATGAGGTGACTAAAAATTTATAAATAATTATCCCTATAGTTGGCCACCGCCATCAAGGTTAGATGACCAAAATATCATTTATTTACTCAACTATTATTTTCTTCCATAGTTAGATTCAATATATTTCAATGAGTATTTGAGCTTAAATTATGACTCCTTTAGATATTTTTAAAAATATAGTCAATTCATTCATGATAAAATAAATAATCTTTAATTATTTCCAAAGTTTCTAATTTCACAGAATACCATATATAATTTTAAGTTTTAATTCTATAATATGGAATAGGGTGAAGGATTCTTACTCGAATTGGTGTCAAAAATACCGTTCTTACTACCCCGTCTCTAGTGATTTTTGAATTTTTTGAATTTTCATGTGGAGATTAAACACGCTTCACGTACTTAAAAAAAAATACCCAAAAAATCCAAAATCGGTGTTAAAAATTCATTCCGACAAATTTCAAGATTCTAGAACAATGGTAGCACTGCCGCTCACAATAGTAGTTTGCCTCGGCTTGGCCGTTTCTGGCCGGTTTAGGTCGGTTTTAGCCGACTTTACACATATCCCTGCGAAAAAACATATTAGGGAGCATCGGTTGACCGAAAAAATCAAAAAATCGAAACCTACCGATGGTGGGGTTTATAAGTGCAGCGGCTCCGCCAGCTCTCTTTAACGGCTAGGATTTCTCTTTTGGTCAACCTGTAGAAAACAGAACGGTGAATAAAATGGTAAAAAAATCGCACGAAACGAGAACCAGAAAGGAGCTCATCGGAGGAGGTTGCGGTTTTAGGCCGCGGCGGCCTTACCGGGCTTTGCCCATGGTTTTTAGCTCATTCACTATTCATTTTGCTCCGATATAACCAAAGGGATGCTCATAATCAAATTCCAAGCGGGTAGGAGAATTTTTACATTTTTTAGCAGTTGGAGGTAGCTTCAGTGCGGTGGCAGTCAGTGATCGGCTTCAATCTCCGGTGTCTGGTCCTTCTTATCCGGTGGGATTGGAGGGGGGCTTGCATTTAGAGTTCATATTGTATGTGATGTGAAATATTTATACCCATCCCGTGTTAATCTGAGTCGTCCATCACGATCGATCTCGTCTGTCCAATTGTGTATGAGGAGGAAACGAATTTGAATCGTTCATCGCATTTGATATCGACTGTTCGATCGTGCCTAAAGAAAAAATGATATCGACTGTTCGATCGCACCTAAGAAAAAAATAGATTTGGACTGTCCGCGCGCGCAAGATCGATCTTGGACCGTTTGATCGGGGGGCACACGAGTCGTCAACGTGGCCTCCCACGTAGCACCGATGTCAACGCGCCTGGCCACATAGTGTACTCCGGTTCTTCGAGACTGCTGACTAGACAGTTTTACGTGGCTGAACTTTTTCTATTTGCATTTGATCCTATTTTTTTTTAATTTTTTTTTTCAAAAACACTTATCGAATTCAAAATTTCACCAATTTTTTTAAAAATCATTTTCAATTTCGTTCCTAATTCATTTTTTTTAAATTCAATCAAATTAAAATAAAATAATTTTTTAAAATTATTATTATATATTCATAATCCCTAAAAATTATCCTCAGCCAATTTTCGAACCTGGATGTTACATACTCGATGATTAATTTGGTAAAAACACATTGAATAATATTGACATTTTCTTGTTTTATGTAAATTAAATATTGTAAAAAATTAAGTTAAAAGTACAATTTATACACTAATATTCTTTTCATTCTCTTGCTTGTCATGTAATATATATAATTCAATGCAATGAGTTATGTAAATTTAATAAATGTGTTCTTATAATAAATATATATACAAGTAATATAAGTTTTTTAAAAAATAATAAAAATTAAACTCATATATAATTTTATATAAACTTAAAATAAATAAATTTTAAATTCTACTCTTAATTTTTACTTTGAGCTTTCCCAAGACTCGCACACGGCAGAACACGGCGTCGCTTCCTTAGGAATGACGTAAAGCAAAATGTTTACACCATAAACTTTTTCTTCCCATTTTCCATTACCTTTTTCATTTTCTCGGCAATCTTCAAAGTATTTCCGGCGAACCAAACAAGGGACCATGTGGATTGAGATCATTTGCGGTCTGATCGTCTACAAAATATTTAAGCGTTTATTCTACGGGGAAGATATATTGGAGGTTGAAACCTCTGATTCCGTTGCTCTCTTCTCCGTCGCAAATAGGTTCGTTGTCCTTATGGACGATTAATATTTTCTTTGGTTTTTTTCTATTTTTATAAATGGCATCCTAAATTGATTTATTTTATCTGTTTGGCTGCGGAGGAAAGCTGAGGAAAGGAAGCAAATATGTCGGATATGTTGTTTTTCCTTCTTTTTCACTACTGAGAATAGTGAAGTCTCTGCAGATTAGCTTTAATTTAACTAATTTTATTTCTGTTATCTGTTTGAAGTTCCAGTTATTGCGGTCAAGATTTGGCCTTTTTAGATATTTCTTACTTTATATGGTTATGGTTCTATGAATATAAAGAAAGAAGAGGAACGAAGCACAGTGAATACTAGAACTAAATTTTTGGTTGTTTGGGAGATGAGAAAAGTGGAGGCTCTTCAGGTGTAATCTTAACTACATGAAATTGGAAAGTTTGGCTGCTAGTTTGCTTCTGATTTCTGACAAAGTTGACGATGAAAATAAGGAATTTTAATAATTGTAAAGTATTGGAAGAATAATTTTTTGGTTGCAGTTGCGTTTCCTTCAGATTGTTCCAGTGAAGTAGCTCTTTTCCTTTATTTTGCTATGTTAGTACCAATGGAAAAATCAGACTCAAAATGTTACCTTCGTTTTAGAACTTCTTTGTTTAGGGTGTGGTTTGGTTGATTCACGTTCTTTTTTCTATCCAAATTTTCAGACTTGAAAAGCTTTATGGTGGGAAGATTTATGTGGGACTTCGGATACCGGATACTGATACTGGTGCTCGGGAGAATATCGACATGGTTCTAGTCACTACAGGGTAAATTTTTGCCATTAGTCAAAATTTACGAAGAAAAGCTTTCTGTTATGTTTTTTGGCATGTGAGGCAATGAGATAAGTTTGAACAAAGTTCTCTTCAAGTTTGCAGGTTGGGAGACCCATTGACATGAAACTCTTCTACAGATTAAAAATGATTGAATATTAATTGAATATTCCTTTATCTGTATGCATGCGAGGGGATTATTGAATATTAATTTGATGCATGTTTTTTGCAGAGAAGCAGTGGTGATTTCTGTGAAGAATCTGTCAGGATTTGTGTCTGTTAATGCAAATGGCAGCTGGGTTTGTGAAGGCAATGGCAGAGGCAGAGCAGATACTCTTCCTGATCCAGTGAGTTAGCTAAGTTCAGATATTTGCTTATCCATTATATAAAAATGTATAGTATTTTGATCTTACAGGTAATGTATATTAACATAAAAATGCAAAGGCTTCTCAGTTTAATCATATAAGTTTCTAAATTATTTTATTTCTATCACCTCAAAAAATGATAAATTTAGTCAATACTGTCTGTGTTTTTGGTGGAGGAAAATGATTCTTTAGTATGTGTTAAAGAGATACATGGTTACAGAAATCATAGATATTTACAGTGGGTTCTTGGTCAATTTCTTGGTAGATATCTGCTCCATTACTATCAAAAAGCAAACATATAATGTTGAAAAAATATATAATTGTATAGATTTATTTGCTGTCATAAATATCTACTCTGTAACTATATGAAATAGAATGCATATGTTCTTAATTCAATTTCTATGACCTACATGGAAATTTACTATTTTTGTTTCTTACACCTATTCGAATTTTTTTCTTATTTAGGTGGCAGAGGTTAAAAAAAAGGTTTCTGTTCTTGAATCATATCTTGAACAAAGGGGAGCTACTTTACCGGAGGGATATTTGTCCTACAAAGTCATATTTCCTAACCCAAAATTCCGGTACAGATTGTAATATTCCTAATAATTGTCTTTGACAACTCTGTTGCTTATTTAACCAGAACTGAGAGCTTGGTTCATTTGGCTGTTTCAACATTTCACTATTGATGGATATATATGTCCTCAAATTGTTGCTTTGTTGGATATGTTTTGTGAGCTGTTGCATTGGTTTAAGTGTGTATCTATCTCTAAATTGAAATTCAATTGCTTGAAAGTTAAAACCAGTAGACATGTTAATCTACTTTTGTTGTGTCTTTTGGGTTGTCCTTTTTGAGGTATGAAATTGATTGACTTTGCAGACTGAGATATTTCTGGTTAGTTTGTCTTACCTAAAAGATTTTAGTCTTGTAACTAAATATCTGTTACCTGAAACTTGGATACATTGCTATGCTTAAAAGTCGGAGAAACACTATTAGAACCCATGGTAATTAATGCAGACTATATAGTATTAGTTGAAAGTTTAACATGGATTTGCTAGCAATATTTTGGAGTGTCCAAAAGGAAGCAGGTTTCTGATTTGGTAGTAAATTATAAAATACTTGTGAGAAGTTATATTGGAAAGTTGATAATACTGTTGAAAAAGAACCAAACGGAAGTATCATGTAGAATATTAACAAATGATCCTCGTGTCTCCGCATTT